GATTCAATGTTTCTGGCTGACATTGATTCAATGTTGTTTCAATCATTCTGTGCTATCTGGGAAGCTAGCATGAGAAGGACCAACGCCAAAGTGAGCTGTTACCGTTAGCAACTCAAACCTCAAAATGATTTTTGTGGTTTATTTAGATTAAAAATAGTTTGTGAATTTTTTTTTACCAGCTTTGCAATAAATTGTTAAAATAAAATTATGTTTAAATGAAAAAAAAAAAGTAGAAAAATTATTGTAGGTTAAAAGAAAAAAGTTATCCGGTGTTTGTGTTAATAAATATTTTTGGGTCAAATGTTTTCTATTTTATTGGTCTACAAGATGTTTTGTTTTTTTTTCCTAAAATGAAAACGTTCTTCAAAAAGCTTTGCTTTATTTAACCGAGCTGAATCGACGTTCCCTAGTCTGTTCTACTTCTTTTGTTGTCATTTATGGAACAGTAAATTAACAGGGTGGATAGAGAGGGGGGAAAATACAGCAGATGCTTTGAGAACAGGAATCGAATACAGGATAACGTCATCTATCATGAGACAAAAGTGCAATAAATCAAACTTTCAACATGCACCTAGGAAGAATGTCATAATGAAACACAGATTTACAAGTTAGAATGCCATAAAACACAGCAAAAAGTCATTTTTCATGCCGTTATAAACCAACTTTCTGAACATCTAAAAATTGCTTATTCAGGCCTTGAACTTTGCCATCCGTCATTGAACAAAATCATGTGTGGGAAGTCATGTAAAAGTCATGTAAAAAGTACGCAAAAGTAGTTTGCTGGGATTTTTACCATATTTTACAGCATGTCTTAAACCAGATGTTTGGTAAAAGTGATTATTGGTGGCAGTTTTGGCCTCTGCTCATGGTGACTCAGCTCCATCAGCTGAGTCACCCCAAAAATCTTTTGAGTAAAACGCCCTTCCATAATATTAAACCCAAGGCACAAAAACAAGGCTATTAAAGAAAAAATACTTTGTGTTGTAGTTAACATTTTTATTTTAGAAGATCTAAACTGATCAGTAAAAACAATTCCACCTAAACAATTTCAAAAGTAGCCATCTGCATAAGGTCTATTTGCTGGAGGGCCACATTTGTACACCAAATACGAGCGTCATCCACGTCAGCTGAAACATGAACTGCTCATATTCTCCTAGACCTCAAATATCATGAACTCTCTCTTTAAGGACAGAAATGTACAATTATTTGATTGCACATATGTATGCACATATTCTGTTTATGTGCATACAGGATGAAGGGTTGTGTACCTGGACAGTGCTCGGTGTTGCAGGGCTCATGCTCCTCATCGTCTCCATCACACACAGGTTGTGTGTGTGTGTGGTTGAAAGCCGGGGATGTTTGGTTGCAGCTGCGAAATCGCCGTCTGATTCCCACATCGTCCACGTCACTGAAACATGTCTTAGTGCACTCTGACCAGCTGGTCCATCTACTCCATGTGCCACCTGGTAGAACTGTGCAACATGGAGAAAACTGTGGAACACGGCTCATACATGAGGTGAAACTGTCAGACTAGAAACAATGAAGTTGTTAAAAAAAACAAAAGCCACAAAACAATTCAGCTGAGTGAGAGTGAGTGAGTGTCAGATACCAGGGAGACATGGGATGGAACAGCGTCGGGACTCAGAGGCGTCTCCCGAACAGGGCTGAGCTCTGATTGGTCCAGCTGAGATCAGCGCAGACCTGAGGAGAGGGAAAGTAGCTTTGATAAGATCTCATTCGTCTTTATCTTCATCATTTTCTGCTATTAACCTTAGAGAGGGAAGTGCTGCTGTCCAACAGTCTGGTAAAGGTCAGAGGTCATTTCCTAAATACTTGAAGTCCATTATTCACAGGAGGAAGACAGAAGGGACAGCTGGAAATCTTTCAAACAGTGAACATCTCACCGATTTCACCCCAAGGTTAGACTAATACTGAAACCCAGTAGCTCTATTTCAGACTTCACATGGATCACTGAGCATTATTATGTTATCATTCTTAACATAACAGGAAAAGACTGAATGAGTATGGATTGTTTGGAAGGGTTGACAAAGTTCTATCTGAAACCACAAGATTTCTACATCTATGTTTGCTGGACAGATGAGACCAAAGTAGAGATGTTTAGCCAAGATACACAGAAAAACAAAAACAGCCCAAACACCTTGTCCCAAATATCAAGCACGACGGAGGAGAGAGAATCATTTGGGATTGTCATACAGACATTGAATTTGGCTCGGTCTACTTTTTCCACATAGAGAACTTCTCCATTTTGGCTACAATGTGTTTCTGTATTCAGGTTAGAAATAAACACTTTGAGAACCTGCTGAAAACCAGATCGTCGTCTCCTCATACATAAAACTCTGCAGCTTCGTTTGACTGGCACTGCAGTTTGGGATCAGTTTGTTAGCATCTGCTCGTTCGGTGGACAAATGAAAAGTAATGGGAACAGAGTGCTTTGAGTAAAATGTTGCATCTGATGGAAGAAGCAGGACGTTGATGGTGAAGAGTAAACTCAAACCAAAGAACAATTTTCTTAAAAAAAAGCCACAAAGACAGTGAAATGCTGATACTCTAAGGGTCTATCAGTACCTTATACCCTGAACTACACAGAAACAAACATGCTCACCTGTAGCGTTGCTGCATCCCCACACCGCACGTCACATCACATGGAGACCATGCAGACCAGGCGGACCACTGGCAGGTCTCCAGACATCTAGAAGTGTCACAGGTGACCTGCCCTTCTCTGCACATGCTGACGTCAAATAAGCATTCCAACAAGCCACTCATTGTTATTCACAATAAAAAAAAATCTCTTTTTACACATGTTTTCCACGTTAATATTTGAAGATGTGTCTGTATCTCTCACCACGTGGTGCACTGATCTCTGCTGATCACCTGCCCAGGCTGCAGGGCTTCATCATCCCAGTGACAGACGCACTGGCTGGAGTTCACACATCGGCCATCCTGAAGGTACAGCCCATGAGGACAGCGGCAGCCTGGGGAAAGACACCATTTATGGCAAAAGTTTGCTCTGATCCAAAACAGCCTGAAGGGAATTCATTTCCCTCCTGTCCTGAGAATCACCAAAAGGTAAGATGGAAGGTGTTGCTGAGGGATCAGATGCATGTTTTTCCTTCTTTGACCTTTTAACCCTTCACAAAATCTGGCAGAAGAAAAATCTAATGTAACTGCTGGAAGAAAAACTCAGCTTTTGTTGTAAAAGCCATATGCAGCTCAAATTAAATGTGAAAAGCATGCTTCTGAGTCTTACCGATGACACATGTTGCAGAGCAGTTGCTGGTCATGCTGAGGTCTGAGCAGGTGGGAGGACAGGGATCAACCCGTCCAGCTCGGCAATCTTCTTCTTTCACCAGCACCATGCCGCTGACGCAGCCTGTTGGTCAGGTTGTTAATGGAGTTACAACAAACTCTGGTCAACTAAAGGAACAATCAAACCAATCCAGTTGGAAGGGTCTTAATTGTCTTAAGTTTGGAAGAAAAGTTCCACCTTTGAGAACAGGTGGTTGCGTTTGACCCTTACCTGTCTGTGTGCCTGTCTCGTTGGTGCAGGGCTGGATGTTACAGGTTTGGCTCTGTCGGGTCATGCCCTCACAGTCCCGCCCTCCGTTTTTAGGAGGAGGAGCTGAGCAGGTTCTGCTCCTCTGTCTAACTCCTCCTCCACACAGAGCATCACACTCTGACCACTCTGTCCATGCCGACCAGTGACCATGAACTGGGAAAAGGAACACAATATCGAGCAAACGGCTCCCCTAATAGGTGATGGATGTAGGCCTGCATACAGACCTGGACATGCTCGAGGGAAGCAGGCTCGACTGTCAAACTGAGCTCCACCACAGGATCCTCCAGGCAGGGCGTCTCTTAGAATGTCCCTCTGCCGGAACAAGGAGCCGAGACCACACGTCACACTGCAGCCACTCCAGGCTGTCCATGGGGACATTATGCAGTCCACTGCAGGACAGTAGAATAAAAGGTAAGAAATACACAAACCCCTTGATCACATGACCACTTTGGAAGAGCGTACATAACACCTACCACAGTCTTTTTCATCCGATCCATCGATACAGTCCCTCTGCAGGTCACACCTGCGATCCTTGTGAACGCACTCACTGCTGTCACAAGAGAACTGCTTTGGAGAGCAGGGTCTGGGCACCAGGGGGCGCCATGGAGTTACTGCTGGGCTGGTTGTTGTGCCTGAAGGGGCATGGTGAGGGACGACTGGCATTCAGCATGTACTGAAAACTTTGGAGCAGGATTCACTCAAACCAAGGCCTAAAGGGCCGGCGTCCTGCAACTTTTAGATGTGTCCCTGGTCCAACCAGCCTGGAATCGAAGCCATTCAGTCAGTGTTAGCCACACTTTCAATTTCTATACTTTGTTTGAAGCAGAGACTGCTGACATGTCCAGGGTGACCCCACCTCTCACCCGTTGACCACTGGAAAGAGGCACCAGCACCACTCATGACTGCACTAGGAATAAGCGTGTGTGATAATGGATGGATGAATAAATGAATGTACAGACAGGCGGATGGATGTTTGAAGCAGAGTAAAAACAAGGGTCAGATTTTGACCAGGCTAACGTCCAACACTCAAGAACCAAATGGCTGAATTACCCCCTCAGTATGCAGTCAAGTTCTCCAGAGTCCTTCTAATGGCCTCAATATCTGACTCTGGTGTGTTGAAGCAGAGACTTGTCAAAGTTGCAGGACCCCGGCCCTCGAGGCCTGGGCATAAAGACCCCTGGCTTTGGTGAATAAGAAAATAACGAGCAGTCTGTCATACCACAACGTTCTTCATCTGAACCATCTAAGCAATCCTTCCTTCCATCACACACTTGTGCAGAGTCCATACAGCCAAATGACCAGCACGTGAACTGGCCCTCCATGCAAAGCACTCTGGGCAAACCGGTGTCTGGTGTGCTTGTGATGACTGATGATGCTGTGAATCAACAGAATCTGCTGGTTATACTGTAACTGTGATTCCAGGGACATCACATGGGGAAATCATGTCCCACCTTCTGTGGTTTGAAGACCGGGTCTGCCAGGCTGCACTGAGGAAGTAAGATGGAGTCCAGGTTGGCCTGTTGTGACTCCTGCATATTGTAGGTGATAAGATGGTCTTGATTGTTTAGAACCAAACGAACACACAAGTAATTCAGCCGACACAAGAGAACCAGATAATCACAGTAACCTGAACTCGGCGGCTGAGATCTGGGAGTGACTGCAGGTGATGCCACACCAGGAAAGCCATCTTCAGACTTGGTAGTGTGTAGCCCAGGGCCGCCTGTTGTGTTGTCACCATGGATACCAGGTCTTCCAGTGTAGCTGGTCTGATTGCGGAGGCCTGGAAAGCCTCTGGTGGGAGCAGTTCCTGGAGAGGACAGAGGGAAAGTTTTAAGAGAGAGAACCATTCTGTCGTTAAATGCTAAATTTTGCGTAACTCTCACCACAGTTTGTCTCATCAGAGTAGTCCTTACAGTTTGGCTGACCGTCACAAAGCAAAGACACAGGGATGCACTCCTCACTGCCGTGGCATAGAAACTGGCCCGGCTTGCAGCGCTGCACTGTCCCAACCCCAGAGGGCGATGTGGTCACATACTCATCTGCATTTGTCAGGGAGACATTGTTTTTATGACTCTGTAAGGAACATCTAAAGCAGGGGTGTCAAACTCCAGTCCTCAAGGGCCGCTGTCCTGCAGTGTTTAGATGTGCCACAGGTAAAAAACAGTGGAATGAAATGGCNTANTNACCTCCTCCCTGTGTAGATCGGTTCTCCTGAGCCTTGCTAATGACCTAATTATTCTTTTCAGGTGTGGTGCAGCAGAGGCACATCTAAAAGTTGCAGGACAGAGGCCCTTGAGGACTGGAGTTTGACACCCCTGATCTAAAGCAATTTTATACTTAGAGACCTTTGCTAAGCTGCATAAATTACATATACTAATAAAAACTTATATTTGTATTCATCCCCTTTACTCCAACACGACTAAATATATTCCAGTGTCTTTATGAATCCTCTTCCTGTTTGCAAAACAAGGTTTTATCTCAAGAGGGTTGAATAGAAATGTACATCATACTTTTCAGATTATTGTTTTGAAAAAAATATTAAAAAGCGATGTATCGTTTCCACTTGATAACTATGGGCTAGTTTGTGTTGGTCTGATAAAATCTCAATAAAACCACTGAACATTGAGGCTTAAATGTGACAAAATGTCTTAAGGTTCAAATGGTCTTTTATACTTTTTCTCTTTAAATATTTTGTTCATCATGCTTTCATAGCGGTCTACGCTTGTTAAAGTCCTTTACCTCCTCTGCAGCCAAGAATCTCCACACGGAGGTAGAAGGTGTGCCTGAACTCCACAGGGATGATTCTGATGTACCGAGCTCTTACCAACCGGCCCAACCAGCGGGTCACGGGGGTCCTGCCCACCATCCGAACCTCAAACACCTAGAGGACAAAAATCACATGTAGTATTACACAAAACTTAGTCTGAGTTTTATCTCACTGATTTATAGGCTACATAGTATTAAACAACCAGCACCTTGGCAGGGCCGTCAAACTTTCCATTTGCTGTGAAATCTGAGAAGTGGGCGCTCTGGGGGGCAAAGGCCAGGCGGTATTTGGTGAGGTAGCCCCACATGCGCTCATTGCCCTGTGTCACCACTCCTGACACCCAAGTGGGCTCCAGGAAATCCACCTGAAAATATGGCTGGGGGTCCCCAGGTAGGGGGCTCCAGCCAGGCTCCATAACTGGACTGCAGGAAAGAGATAATAATACGCAATTTTGATCACTTGAATCCTCGTTTTCAAATTTTCACTTTATATAGGTGTCCATTGATAAATCTGCCCCGTTTTCCTTCATTTTGGGAGATTGGCGACCGACCAACACAAACAAATCTGATCATTTCCACTTATCTACGTACGCAGAGATCTGAAAATCAGTCACTGTCCCCTTGGCTCTGCAGTGACAGAAAGTTGACTGACACAAGGTCATATCTGCATGTAACTATAGTCACCCCACAGCCAATCGACCGAATCGGAATCGGCAAGACAGACTTTCTAAAGGTCAGTGACTGGCCAGAAAACTACAATCAGTGCACCCCCCATATTAAATGTCAACAACACCAGGAAACTACAAGCAAAGGTGAATGCCATCACCCACATGTTGGGGACGATGTTTAGTCTCCCGGCGTCAGCGGGGTTGTTCTCACGGTGAGAGGATGAGGACAGCTGGCCGTAGTGAATCCTCCCATCCTCCAGTCCAAGAGGAGAGGAGCAAAGGCCTGTGAGATGTGACGTTTATTAATGGGAGCACTGAAAAATTCAAGGCATTTAAAGACGTTCTTCAGAAAGCAGAAACTTACCGCGGTATCCTGGACCGCCGTCCTTTCCATAAATACATCCAGATTAGAAGATGTTAGTGTGAGCAACAAGGAACGAATAATAAACTAAAACAGCAGCAACATCTGTAATCTTTTGTCTTTTAAAGTTTGAAGCAGTGGCCGCATGATTGTCACAATGCTGTAAGTTTAATAACGAGGAGAAAATTTCACTTTTTTAAAGCTTATACAATTTCAAGACAGAACTGTTAACTGTGGGTTTTGATATTTGGTTTGCATTATACAGAGAATATAATACAATTAGTTTAGAACTCATGTTCAAATATTTTCCTTACAGTCAGTGATGCAGTAGAGAGAGTAACAGCAGCCATTGATGGGGTCTTCAGAGGAGAGGGGGTGGGTGTGTGTGGCCTGCAAGTGGGAAAATAAAATTACAATAAGGAATAACAGCGATTTTAGTGAACAAATATAAGCATCAGATTAAGACAGTACGCTCCTTACCTGTCTGACTGTGTAGTGATGTCATGTCGGTGGCATCCATTTTCATCCTCTCCTTTAGGACAGTCAAGGATACCATCACAGCGCCTGTCTGCCTCAATGCAACCCCCTGGTGGCAGGCAAGAGAAGTGACCAATGGGACAGCTGCGTGGACTGGTGGTTGTGGAGGAAGGTTGGGTGCCTGCAAAAGATGTTTTACACACACAACAGGAAACTGACCAAAACATGCAACGCTCTTTTGCTTAACTTACAAAAGAACTTTTGCAAAACTGAGATGGAAAAATAATGACATAATGTGAATTAAACCCAAAACGAACAATAAAAATATTCATTCACTGTCATCCACTTGGGCCTTGGAGATAAAGTTCATAACAGAACCTAAAACATTTACTTCCTTGCTTTTGCTTGAGAATGTCTTAAGATCCCTAAAACTGGACAGGTCTGAAAACCTCCAAAGGAAATCGACTTAATTTAAGTTTATCAAAAAAACACCAATTCTACTCCAAGCTGCCAGAAGACAACTGATCTCCTCACCTTGTTTCTAAATGTGTTTCCACACCGGATAGTCTGGTACTCGGTTCAATTAGGAACCAAAATCACCACATTTGTTACATGTTCACTGTCACACTGCACTGTGGTGCCTCTACGCTATGAACCATTGAAGCAACAATGGAGTAGAGTGAGATTTCAGCAGTTGTAGGATTTCTCTTTTGTCTCTAGCAAAAGACGATTTCTCAAGCATCACATGTAAAGAATACACCTCCAGCTTTTCCCAATACCAACGGAACACTCCACCTTTTTCTGGTTGACAGTGCATTATGGGAAATTATCTACACAAACTAATCGGAGCAGATAACTCACCACAGTACTTCTCATCTGACCCGTCCCCACAGTCATTGACTCCATCACAGACAACTCCCAGAGAGCCGGCCGGCACACAGCGACCGTTATCACACCGGAATTCTCTCTCTCTGCAGCCTTCACCCAGAGTGACTGGTGAAGGAGGGGTTGGGAAAGTTAACCTGGGGTAACCTTGAGAGGAGAAAAAGAGGAATGTTCTAGAAAGATGTGTCCATTTTCTTCAAGGTCAGAAAAACATGATTATCATCAATCTGCTGATCATCACCACAGCCCATGATCTCCAGCCGAAGGTAGATGCCATTCTGGAAGTCATGAGGCAACAGTCGAACAAACCGAGCCGACACTATCCTTTCCAGTCTACTCTCCACCACGCCTCGATCATCATGGTTACCGAGAAAAACCTGCAGTAGGAGCAGAGAAACATTGATTTGAAGAAGCTGTTTGAACTCCAATGAAGAGATCAAACAGATCTCTGACAGATCTGTTTGATCTGTCAGAGATCAAACAAAGTTGTTTGATCTCTGACCTTGGCTCTGGGTGGTGCATCAGAAGGAAGCTCCTTGTAAGTGTACCAACGTTTTCCATCATGGCTGAACTCGAGATAGAAGCTGGACACAAACGTGCCGAACACCCCACCTCCCTGGGTCAGCACGCCTAGAATCAGATCAGTCATCACATATTTTAATAAATGAACGAGGGATAATCACACAACAAAGCTCTTTGTTCACAGAATGAAACATAAGACACTGAATCAGCAGTTTCAATTTCAGTTGTTTGAAAGCACCTGTGGGAATCTTTACCAGTGATGTTGTAGGGTTTGAGGAGGTCGATCTGTATGTAGGGGCTTTGCGTGTTGACACTCTGTCCTTCGCGTCTCTTTTGTGGCAGGTCTTTATACTCCTCTGGCTCTGGACTCCAGCCCTGCATGTGAACGGCAAACAGAAAAGAACCGGTGTCGATTTTACAATTTGATCTGACGGTGAATAAAATGCCCACCATTTATGTTTTGTTACTCCAGGGGAGCTTCTTAAGACTTTTTAAGTAAAAGGTAGATTGGATTGATGATCCTGATCAGGTTAAGTGTCAGAACGCTAAGAATGTGTGAAGTACCTGGAGATCTCTATGGGGGTCCCACCCATGAAGACGTGCTGCGTCGGGTGGGTGGCCCTCCTGGTGGGATGAGGCAGTGAAACTAGACACTGGGAGGGTCTGGACACCCAGAGGAACCCAACACTCATCTTAACAGGAAGAATGAATTATTTAAATATACTGAATGTTAATGTACTGTAACATTTGCTGTACATAAACGAAGACACCAACCTCCAGGTGGAAATGGATATGTAGGTACTACAGGAGTAACATCCCTGGGTTTAGATGTCATAATGCCAGGAGTTTCTGTTACCATCGTTGTCCCATTTTCACCTACAGATCGTTAAAAACAAATTATGTTTCAGGGTCTAAAATCAAACAGCAAATGACGTAACGTTTGTTCTTCTCTCACACTGTTCATTATCCTGACATAGATGTTACATTTAAAAGTGGATTGTCTGTGAAGAATACATGCAGCCTGTGATGATTTATACAGTCCATGTGTGTTGGGATGAAAGGTGAATGTCTGAAAGTGTGAGTTTATGCTTTGCTTTCCTTGTACCACCAGGTTTCCTGGGTTGTTGCCGACATCTTATGTGTGAGTTTTATGTCAGTGAAACCATAAGAAATATTAAAAATGAGAAAAATGTATGTCCAATACTTATTTAACCACTGTAAATAAACTGGACCTAAATGAATAAAAAGAGACAGAACTATGTAGAACTGACCAATAAAATATCTATATTCTCCATTTAAAATAAATAAATATATATATATATATATATATATATATATATATATATATATATATATATATATATAAACTACCTAGACAGGAGCAACACCTGTTTCTCTCTCCCCTG